GAAGTCATTTGTGTAAGAAAATTAATATAGTTTTGGTCGATTTTTCTATATATTATTTCATGAAGTCTACTTTTATGATCTCTATACCCACGTTTTATATGCGTATATCATCTTTTCCTTTTAAAACAAGAGATTACTTTTGTCTTTTATATAATGTTATTAATTAGATCATTTTCATATCATATATCTATATAAGCTTAATATACTTTAATTTATTATGTGATCATCCTAAACCTGACTAACACTACTTGGGTCAAAAAAACGATGATAATTTTTTTTTTTTGGCGGGTCAATAAAAATGGGTCAGGTGGGTCAAAAACAATGCTTTTGCCACCTTAATATTAAAAAAAAAAAAAAAAATTTTTATAGGCAAAAAATATATAAAATTTAAGAAAACTTAAAGAAAAAATTATATAAAAAAAGTTTAATACAAGAACTTTAAACTTTTATTATACTAAAGTTTTTTAATAATTTTAAAAAATTTGTTTAATAAAGTTAATAAAACAAATCTAAATTTAAATATTTTATTTAAAAAATATATAGCTAAAATCAATATTTAAAATTTTATTAAAAAAATTAAAATTTTTTATAAAAATACAAACAAATTTGCTTGTATTACAATTTAAGAGATAAGTTATACAATGGCAAAGCTTTTAGATATACAGTAATTTTATTTTAAGAGCTTATATTTATAATATATTAAATTAAAATAGTTGGTCTTATAATTTAATAAACTATTAAATTCAACTAAAAATTGAGTATATTTTAATTATATTCTTGCTATATTATAATACTATAAGTAATTATTTTAATAAAAAATAAATTAATTTTTTAAATTTTTATATATTAAAATACAAAAAAATATATAAAATTACACTGATAAACTTTAAAATAAACTTACATAAACTTTAATTACTAAATTAATATATTCAAGACTATTTATATTATTTATATATTAACTTTTATTTGTATTATTACTATACTTTACTAGAACTTTAAAAGAAAGCTTTACTATATGATTGATATTTTGCAATTTGATAATCTGAATTATATAATTTTGGTACTATTTAACTTGTTTTATCAAGACAAATCAATTGATACCAAAATTTTTTAAATCTAACTAGTGAATCACAAGATATACCAAGTGTATTATAATTGGTCCTGTATTATAATATTCTTCTTTATTTTATATACTTAAAATCAAATTATATTGATTTTAAATTTACAAAGATTCTAATATACTAGATGTTTGTTAAATCTTTAAACAAAACCTTTTTTGTATCTCTGTTTATATTAGTTTTTTTTTATTTTATATTTGTATTTATATAGTAATTTATTTAATTATAATATTTACTGTAGTAATTTATTTAGTAATTAATAAAAAGATTCTGTCTAGAAATTTATCAAACATCCAGTATATTTACAAAAGTTATATTTCTTAGTTACTTACTGTAAACTCCTAGCTTTTTATAGTAAAACAAAATTATAAATACTTCTAAAATTTTAACAAATTTGTCTAAAAAATACAGTATACAACACTTTAAAATTCAAGAATAAAATTTATTCTAAATTGAATCAATTTTTTTTTTTATAAATTTACATATAAAATTGTGTTCAATATTTACATTTTGAACTTCTGTAAGGAATACATCCTATGCCTAGTAATACATACTATCTAAAACTATCACCTGAAGAAAATGCACTACGATGCAAGATGCACTATCTTACAAAACCCCAATTCCAATCACTGTATGTTACCGAATAAAAGCAACAAAAAAATTGGAATTTTTGGATTTCAGAAAGGAGTGAGTTGTTTTATTTTTGTATTAATAAAACATAATACTTTCTGCAAAAGTTATTTATAGATTTATATGAGCGAATGGTTCCAAAATCAGGGAGTTGCTTTTATTCGGATGGTTGGTAACATACGGTATGTCAAATATTTTTAAAAGGGTCTTTGAAAGTCTTGAAAAGTACAATAAAGTTATACTATATCTTTAAAAAGGCATTTGATGGAACGCTTCAAACGCCAAAAAATTATACCAATCCCATTCTAGCATATTTTTTCAAATGCCACCCAGAAATTGAAACATATTATCTATACATTTCATTAAACTATCTTGATCGTCTCTGAGGAGGAGGTGGTGGTTGCGGTGGTGGAGGGCTATTTAAAAATCTTCGATTTCCGCCATAAAATTGACCATATGACATATCACCATAACCACCATCATAACGCGGAGGCGGCGGTGACAAATCGCTATAGGGAGAGAGTCCAAAGTTCATAGGATGTATTTGCATAGGATTATAATAACGAGGATCTCCTGTATCGTATGGTATTCCATACATCGGACTATTTTGGTTTCGATTTCCTCTTGGTGGGTATCTTATACGCCCATCTGGTCCAATTAATTGTTCTTCATCTATTGGATATCGTCTCTGCCTTTGTGGTTGACGCATTTCATTATTATTATGTCCAGGAAATTGTGGCAGTGTCTGTGTCGTTTCTCTTCTTTTATTATTGGGTAATTCTTTCTTAAGTTCTTCAGTTTGAGATGGATCACGGAGACGTTTGTTTGAAAATGAAGATGTATCTATTGAATTTTGAAATTCTTGTTGGTCCTTAGTTGGCTTCTGGGGTCTTGATAATCCAGTAACTGCAGTCATTCGAACAGGAATATCTGGCAAGTTTGGATTTTCCACTTCAGTTTTTTCTGGTTTAATTGTTGAAGGATTTACTGGCAAATGCGCAGAAGCCTTTGATATGATAGGTGAGGTAACACTTTCAGACGTCTTTGTCGTATTGCTATTTGACATTTCACCTTTGTTCATATTACCAAACATCCAAATGTCTGTTGCTACGTCCGCTGTACCATGATCACGGCTTCGATGGTTTGTAAATTTGTCCATCCTAGTAAAATACTTATTACACCCTTTCCAGGTGCACACGACGAGACTAGTCTCGCTAGCATCAGCTTTATATCCTACACAATTCTTAATACTTTCTTCTGTAGTAATTTCATCAATTATTGCAGGGCTCGATGCTGCATATTCAACTGTCTCAGCCATATTTCGATTTTTCTTTTGCATTTTGTTGTTCACCCTTTGCTTTATCTGATTGCGTCAGCATGGCGGACCTTCGATCCGATTGGTTTATAAAACCCTGGGTTACACGACATAGACTTTACTACATTTTTCAGTTTTTTCAATTTTTTTTTTTTTTTTTTTTTAGCTCTTACCGTTACGTTTTTATTTTTTTTACTAAAAGACTGTAATTAATTTAAATTGAAAAAAAAAATTGATAAGTATATATACGGTATATATTATAATATAGTATATGTGCTAATTAAATTACTTTATATGTAAAGTATTTTTACTGTATAACTCAAATAAAAAGACGTAGAAATGACGAATACCGTAAATTCTCAAAATAGCGGTCACGGACGTTTTTTTTGAGTTATGGCCCGAATTAAGCTTAATTTAGGCCAAAATTTCGAAATTACACCTCTGGGCGTTATCTCGAGAATTTATGGTATATAGGTGTATATAAATTAATTTTTTTTAAAAAAAATAGAAGTTCACTATATCTTAATGCTTGATATTTTAAATAAAAATATTGAATTTTTAAAAAATTTATTTAATTTTTATTAATATATACTTTAATTTTACAATACTGGACAGCAAAATACTGCATATTTACTGTATTTTTTTTTATTAATAAACCTTAAAATATTGCAAATAACTATACACAGTACTGTATTAATTAAATAAACTAATACACTTATCTCTTAATTAGTAGAGTTTGCAAAAAAAAAGTTTGCATATATAATTGCTATAAATTTTGATTTGATTTACTTTCAAAATTTAAAAATCTGCTATTATACAGTCTTCTTTTTATAACAAACTCTGGATAGAGTTTTTTTTTACAGCCAGAACCAACAGTTCGTTTAGAAAGAGTTGACTGTAATAGTATTTTAAAAGATGCGTTAATTTAAAATGAAACCTATATAAAAAAAAAACCAATAAATTTTTAAAATTTATTAATTTTACTAGTTGAATACGTATGTTACAGTGCAAGTGAAAATAATCGGTGCATATATAAAGATGACGACTTTAGATGAAATTTACTGTTGTTAATAAAGCCTACGAGAGGCCAAAAATAGTATACAGTATTTGTGAAAAATTTTAAAGTTGTTATTCCCATATCGGTTTTATTCATTACAGACAAGGTATGATATTTGAATAGTTACAAATAACTTTGTTTTTCTAAACGCGTCGGATGTTTGAGAAATTATTTTATTACATCATACTCATAAAATAAATGTACCAGGCGATACCTTATAATAAAAGCAATACAACTTGTAAAAATCTGAATAATAATGACGATTATGGTCAATGTTCGTTCATTCATTGGGCCAAATTTTAATAATAATAAATTCAACAAAGTAAAGTTATTAACTTCAATACTATTTTCTAATTCAGTTATTTCAACAAGACCAAGTGATGAAAAAATTTTGAGAATAACAAATGCTGGGATTCCTAATGGTTTTTTCATGTGAGCTTTGCTATAATTTAACTTTTGCGTTGTTGGATTAAATCTATAGCGAGAAAAAAAAAAAAAGTAAATCCTACAAGTCGTGTAAAATTAATTAATCATAAAATATTGATATCCACTTACTTTGGCATGCGATGTCGCGGACAATCTATCAATTTGAATAATTGTGGCGCAGAATATATAAAGTTGAATATTTGTGGTATAAAAAATAATAGTAAAGTTTTGCTGAAATGTGCAAGAATTCCTACTACTGTAAATGTCATTCCAGCAAAATAACAATACGTGTCTCCAACAAAAACACGTGATGGATACCTACAATAAAGTTCAAATTTAAATTTAAATTGAAAATGTATAAATAATTATATAAAAATAATTATATATATATAAATAATTATATAAAAATAATTATATAAAAATAATTATATAAAAATAATTATATAAAAATAATTATATAAAAATAATTATATAAAAATAAT